TGCTTCTACCAGTGCTGCCCACTTGTACACTGAGCAGGGACTGCTCTGATCATCTTCCAAATTTACCACTTCAGGCCACACTCTAATGACCCTGAACCTTGACATGTTGCCGCTAGCCAACTTGACATTACCTGGGGCTTGTCAGAATTGGGAGGACAAATTTGTGTGGCACATGACTACAAGTCGCTGTTTACATTCACATTAAAAAAGAAGAAGACAACCATAGAATTTTAAGGTCTAATGTATTTTTCCATGATAATACCAGTCTTAATAACAATCCCCTTTTCCCGAATGGGATAAACAGAGTGGAAAATGAGGCAACACCATGAAGCCAGTACCCTTGGTTTGCTATTACTGTTAGCTGCTTTGGAGTTAGCCTTCAATTCATGATCACCCTGTGCACAGTGGAAGGAAATGCTCTTGTTAACAGATCCATGATTGGTTGCACATTGAATCCTTGTGATCTAGAGGATTTTTATTGTCTCCTTTTCAGAAGAAGATTGCCAGACCTATCTTCCTGGCCTTGGTCTGGAAACTGTCTTGAAGTCAATTGAGCATTGTAGCAATTTCACAAACCACTCCTGACAGCTAGGTGGTGGCTGATGTGAAGCGTACTGGTTAGGCATCAAATGTGGGCCTCGTGTGTGCAGAAGATAACCTTACCACTGTACCACCAATGCTCTCTGGCCCTCGCTGTGCGTACTCAGATATATCGTAGGTCAATCATTGGTGACTTTCAACAACTTAATAGGGTTGTTTCTTCAGATGAGAAATAGAATTCCACGTAATTCTGCCACAGTCAATGTGCAATATGTGCCATCTCAGAGACAAAACTCAAATACTGACAGGCTCTTTGCATAGTGACAGCAAAATTAATTAAAGGACTACTGTAGCATGCACTGTATTTAAAAAAAACAACCAATTGTCTTCTCAATCAATAAGTCAGGCAAATGTATTAAAGTCATATATGAATTGTCACCTCTAGGTACAAATTGGGTAATGGAAAATTTACCACGGGGTTTATTATTCCTTTTTTTAAATGATACTCATAGCTACATATTTTTATGAGTATTTTGTCTGTGTGAACATTGTTCTTAATACCATAATAACATACAGTATATATTCTCATTTATAACCCAATTGAGTCTTCTGTATCTACACTTATGATGTACTACCTATAATGTGCTATTAAACTAGCAGTTAAATAATGAATATCACAAACACAGTTACTTGGAATTTGGAAAGTTCCAAAGCATAGATGGTTCCATTGCTAACCAAATTCTCAAATAAGATCATTGCCTAGAAAAAATGATAATGAAGACAAGTAGTTCTGAAAAATCTAAAGATTAAATTTATCTGCTTTTCTTCTTAAAAGTTCCAAAAAATAATTATGTAGCTTTCCCATATAGTTACACAAACCCTGAACAACTTGTGTATTCTCTCTTGTGATGTGTGAGGGTGGCACTTGGTTTCAGGATTATAAGTCCACTTGAGTCATTCAAATAGCAACCGAGATTCTTTAAAATGAATGGAAGGTATATTCTCTGATCAATAAGTTGAGTCAGTTAAAGGGACAATTAGGACAACTGAGCACCATTTCAAAATCCATACCACCAAACTGATTTCAACTCTTCCTAACTGTAAATATAAAGGCCTCCACATGTTTTTCCAAAAACTATTATATTGGGACCTATTATAGATAACATACCATTCCAAATCTTTATGTGAGCAAATAATTTCATCTTTCTGCCTCGGAGTAGCTTGAGGCTTTGAACCATTGACCTTGCTGTTGGCAGTCCAATGCTAACATAAAAGTGCCATCAGGACTTCTGAGTACCACTTAGACCTCAGTAATGTTTGGTGTCAATCAAATCAAATAGCTTGATTATTTCAATTGGTCTTATCCTCTACAGCAACATACTTTCCCTGTACTGCTAATTTGCAACATTTAAAAGCATTGCCTCAATTTTCGGAATTATCCTGAAGGAGTGTGAGGTAAGAAATCCTGTGTGCGCCGCGGTGTGTGTGTGTGTGTGTGTGTGTGTGTGTGTGTGTGTGTGTGTGATGTTACACCTCCAACACAAAGAGAAAGACAAAGGTGTGACGTCTGCTCTCAGGTATGAAATGGGTCTCTTTACTATAGGGCTATTTGAAAGCCTCCAGCCTAAAAAAAAGATTTCACAAGTAATAATGTTTATTCCAACTGTGCATTATGGGTTGACAGAAATACAAATGTTTAAATATAATAGCCATCAAGTAAGCTCTTCTTCCATGTATTGATAGCTCTTGTCCCATAATACAATTCTTAATTCAAGCTTTAATTGTTTTCAGGTATGCACAGATAAAGGCTGCTTACTGGCTTATGATTTTTAGTTGGATACATGGTATCTCTAATTCTTTGGGAGATACCTGAAAATACTATATGATTCTCCTTTTGTAAAATAAGCAAATGCAGTTATCAAATCAAAACCAGTCATCTGAATCTATAAATTAGGCTGGGCTACTACTGGATTTTTATTTAACATCTAAATAATGAATAACATATATACACTTGTGAAGTGGGAAAATAAGAGAAATTGATTTGGGTAATTAAAAAAACAATTGTCCAAAAATGTGTTCTTGGTTATTTGTTGCAACAATAACAGGAATGTCAGACTGAGTGGGACTTTCTTTGCAGTTAACAAAGGGTTGCATTTTGAAGTTGGGGGTTTCTTTTAGATCCTGCATGTATGCTGTGTAGCTCCCTAGAGTCAATGAAGGGAAAAAATCCTAGAATCATAGAAAAGTAGAGAGGTGGAAAAAGGTCTGAGTATTTTACAGTTGAGGAGACTGGCATCCTATCTTTCAGTCACTCATTACAGTCACCCAGAGGTTAGCAACAGTTTCACTGAAACAGTAGGCTTGCTTCTGAGAATCTTGAGGGATCTCTCCCATGTTTGCTGTCTTAGCAGTGTCTTCTTACGTAGAGCCTCTGAAAACAAAGTTGCCAGTTAATAGAAGCAAACTTGCTAAAATACAATAAAGATATATAATAATAATAATAAATAGACTCCCTATACTGAGATACCATGATCACGAAGGTGGTTTTCCAGGGCGAGGCTCATCCATGGCACTGCGGGTGTGCTGACCCCGGTGACTTCCCCAAATGCAGGAAACTGGACTGCGTAATTTGTGGTAGTGGGGGACTGCATTGCACTCTCCCCTGGGGAAAAAAAATAGACCCCTTTTCTCATCCCTTTACATGGAGTTCTGTTTTCTAGAGGTTTTACATGTAACTGTTTCTGATTTTGTTCCCCTGGTGTTTACACCTGTGTCTCGAAATCAAATATTGACATTGTCTCTACTTCCTGTGTTTGGCTGGTCTTCTAGAGAATCAAAACTACAGGTAAATGTGTAAAGAAAGATATGAATAGCAAGAACATGGCTTCCACAGTAGGAAAAGCATGATAAGTCCTTTCTGTTTCAAGTCCAAGGGCCAGATGGAAGTTTTTTCTGGTTTGTGGATCTGCTAGGGCAGATGAACTAAGAATCAGGAAGATGAATTTGAAGCAGGGAAACCATAGGATGGTGGAAGCAGAAGTGAATGGATCCAAAATCAACAGGTCAGATTCGTGCCTGAAGAGTGATGGGTCCAAGATCAGCAGGCATTTTGCAGGCCACTGATAACTCCCAGGGCTGGCAGGCTAAAGTCCAAAGAGCTGGAAGTCAATCAGACAGGTGCAAGAGCCTGGCCATGCGGAAGAAAGCAGCCTTTCCACAGCTGCTAAAATAGGAGTGAGTCACACCCCTAGTGGACCTTTCTTCTAATTGCATCAGGGCTGTGACTAGATTAAGACTGTAGCAGCCCACCCTAGTTTTCTTAGAATGACTTGACCAATCACAATAGACCCCCTCATGGAGTTTATTACATTATGTTAGATCACTTCATGGGGTGGCCTCAGCTGGCAAACTTCTAAGAATCCTGTCCCAGCCAAGGCAACATCAAGCTTAACGCCATCACACTTACCTACTTACACTGTCTCTTACCTCATGCTATATTTAAACTACTACCCACCGAAATGCTTTAACATTGCTCTCAGTTTATTCATTAGTTATCCAAACAGTATTTTAACCCCTATTTCTTAGCCCGTAACAGCAGTTCTTACTTCTAAATTTTAAAATGTTAACAATGACATTAACCTTGCCACATTTTCCTCCACCTCTCCTTCCCAGTGTCACTCCAAATTATCTCCCATATGTATCTTTACTTCCGTATGGGCGAGGTTTATTTCAAGGGCAATGGTGCGTTAGTAATCGAATTCTCCTACTAGGAAGAGAATTCAGGTTTCATCTTCAGTCAATGCATAATCAGTGCAGGCTTGCATGTTGCTGAGCTGTTGAGTAGGGCACAGTAAAGCTTCACTGAAAATCGTAGAAAGGCTCCACAATTTCTCTGAAAATCAACCAGGAAAGCTCTATGGATCACAGCAACCCAATCCTGTCATGCATAGGGCTACCATGAGATGGAGACAAAAAGCAAATTGGTTTTACTTAGATTCTGTCTTTTATCCATACAGTACGTCTTTTAATATTTGTGTGTGAACTGTTCCTAATAAATTAATCATAATAATTATATTATTCATAAAATATATTATTTTCAGCATCAAGAAATTTGTAGTAATATATTTCAGTCCCTACACATTCAATGGCACAAACCTACTGGCCCTCAAAGTGAATTTTCTGAAGTCAAATGTGGATGAAGTCTCCTTTTCTTACACTTCCCTGATTCCCTTGTTAGCTTTTATTACTCAGTTAGTAAATATTTAATGAGCACCTATTACAGACCCAACACTGTCATAGATAACTAGGCTCAACAGTTGGTAAAGCAAAGGCCCTGATTTCACAGCTCTTTTATTGTAATAGGAAAAATGGACAAAGAACGACTACCCACTACATGTTAATGTATAAATTGGAAGTGCTTGTGAAGAAAAACGAAAGAACAAGAGTGTTGTTAAGCAAAGTGGTCAGGGAAGGCTTCTAGGATAAAATAGCACTTAAAGGTAATTCTCATGTTTCAAAAAGCCAGAGTAATTGACAGCTAGCCAATGCCACCTCATAGCAATGCTGTGGGACAGAGTAGACCTGCCATCTAGGGCTCCCAAGGCTGTGGTCTTGATGGAAGCCGGTTGCTTCATCTTTTTCTCATGGTTAGTAGCCAACATTTAACCACTGAGCACCAGAAATCCCAAAATCTTAGTATCAAGTCATACCAAACTCACTCCCACCGAGTTGATTCTAACTCATGAAACTCTTATTTAGCTCTCTGCTGTCAAGTGGATGCCACGTTATAGCAACCTTAGTATGGATTTCATTGTGTACTCAGATCCACTTAAGGAGCAGGCAGATTCATCATTCTCCCTTGGGCACGTGGTGGGTGTAGATTGCCAAGCTTACGGTCAGCAGCCCCCTGCTTATCCACCTGCATCACGAGGGCGCCCTAGAGATCATCTGTAGGGGAGGATATATGTCATATGGTTGTAAATGAGAAGGGCATTTGGAGGACACATCATAGCAAGTGTACAAACCGTGGTGAAGCAAAGTGATGGGAGTTTTCAAGGAAAAGTGAAAGAGCCACTTTGTCCAGAAGAGAATCCAAAGGGAGATGCTTAGAGGAACTGAGGTCAGACAGGTCATAAGATTCTACACTTTAGGTTTTAATCTGAGCCCAGAATCCAGGGGAAGAGTTTGAACAATCACAAAACAGAATTTAAATTATATTTAGAAAAAAAAATTGCAAAGATTCAGGGGAGAGATTATGTTGGTTTTGACCAGGATGGAATCAGACGGAATCTACAGTTAGGTAACAGTTGCAATTGAATCGATCCTTACTCATAACAAGCCCATGCTTGTCAGAATAGAGTTACTGGGTATACTCGAGTATAAAACAGGCCGAATACAGTATCCAGCGAGGCACCTAATTTTACGACAAAAACTGCATTTAAAATCTGCTGAAAAACTCGACTTATACTCAAGTATATGTATGGTATGTTTCACAGGGTTTGTAATGGATGTTTTTTAGAAGTAGATAGCCACACTGTTATTCTGAAGCAGTTCTGGGTGGACGTGAACTCTTGGGAACCAGCTGACGGGGCTAATTGTTGTAGCACCCAAGCACTCCTTGTTAAGGTGGACACATAAAATTTAGTGAGGTATTTGAAGTGTTTTGGAAGCAAAAACATGCTACGCATTATTCCGAAGTACCTATAACTTGGGTAAAATGCAAATAGCATGTAAATATCATTAATAGAGCTGATTAGGACAGACTAGGTAAAAAACAAAAGTTGTTTTTGTGTGTATATTTTGGGTTTTGTTTGTATTTTCATTTCTGGAGCGGACAAAGAAGGAAGATGACAAGTTCATTTTGGGAAATGCCTTTTCAGACGTTCAAGTAGAAATTTGAGTAGGCAGTTGATTCTATGAGTTGCAGGGTACAACGATTCCCCAGGGGTGGGTGTCCCACGAAAGAAATGTCTTCTGAAGACTCCACGGGGAAGACTGCAGATCATCATGTTTTCCCAACGTTTAAGGAATTCAGTCTATTCAATTAATTCCCGTTTCCTAGACACTTTCCATCTGGATTTCCTTTTTGCAAAGATTGGGCTAGATGATTTCAGGCCTTCTGCAAGTTGTGATCTGGTCCTTTCCCTCGGTGTTACACTGCATCGGGCTTCTTGTCTCTTATGTTCTACCCGGCTCCCGTCTTTGGATTGCTATAGCATTTGCTGGAGTCCGTCTTCAACTAACTTGTGAAAAATGTGAGACACACAATGTTCCAAGTCCTTGCATGTCAATATTTTTAGTTTTCTCTCACACTTAATCGGTAGCTTGTGTGTTTGTGTGTGTGTGAAGCATTATAAATATGTTATAAGTAAATATATAGATACAGATACACAATTTTGTATAGTTGTATATATCATTATAGTGTTGGGAGAAGTGAAGTAAGAGGACTCTTACTTAGCTCAATTATCATCAATTTACTAAAGATAAGTCTGATGCCATTTTGATATAAATCCTAAATATGTGTTATAATGCTTCCTTCTGAAAGATTTTAGAATCTTGTGAAATTTTCCAATGATGTGAAAGGATTGAGGCTCTCGTACATTAGTTGCTTTGAGTACTTGGTAGATTATTTCACTCTGAAGACATACATGCTCCCATTCAAGGAAATACTCTTGCATTAGCCTTTTGATAATTTTCTGTCTTCTAATTATTCTCTGTGACTTTTATTTACCTTTTTTTAGAAAAGCATATTCACATTTATTACATGTGGAAATTGACATAGATTTAAAAATAAAGTGTCAGAGTTTCATGATTAGAACTATGTATTATGCCCATATTGTATAAAATTTCATTCCTCAGATTGATAAACATATTAGATTGATTTACTATAGATCTTAACTTTCTTTATACGTTTTATGGCTCTACATTGTTTGGCAATAATGTGTTAGGCTGGGTTACGTAGCGAAACAAAATCAGTGATACTTAGATATGTACAAGAAAGAACATTATATCTAGAGGTAATTTTATATTAAGGAGTCATCCCAGGATACTCCAGCTGAAGTCCAATGGACCAATGCTAGCCATAGGCCCATTTCAGATTCACCCGACTGCAGGGCAATGATGCAGAAAGGCGAAGCAGCAAGCAGGGAGGTCACAGGCTGGTGGGTGCAAAGTTGTGTGGATCCAAGGTCAGTGAAAAGAGACAGGGCACTGACAGATTTCCAGGTCGGAGGCAGACAACAGGGTGCCAGTAAGGTCCCAGCAAGGAGAAAGGGGACATTTCAGAGAGAGAGTCCTCGCCGTCTTTCTTATAGAAAAGACCACATCTCTAAAGAAGCCTTACCAGGCTACCATGTGATTGACAGGTTGGACCCCACCTGTACCTTCACATAGGTACCATCAAGTATACATAAAATCTCACTACTACACATATATTTACATCCCAACTTTTGTACTGAATTTTGCAATTAAATGCCATATTGTTATTTACTCAGATCTATCAGTCTCTGATTATTTGTCTAAATTTTTATACTCTAGTCCCTCAATTTATTTTCAACTTTCTTTGAGTTCTCATTAAAAATATTGTGGAAGTTTTATTACCTGTTTTTTAAGGACTTCTTCCCTAGATATGTGCCTGTTTAATTATTGTTTTTACATCCATATA